TACACGTGCGCTTTGCTGGCTCTGTATCCTGCATGCATTTGGCGAGTAAGGCAATTACCGCGGGCCCGCTGTTGCCTATTCCCTGACCTTAACGGCTGGTCTTATCCGCGCTGATCTAAATGCATTGTTTTAATGGTTCCTTTTCAGTCACCCACTCCCCGGCGCACACGCACACACATACACACAGAGAGAGAAAATATCAAGGCGAGCTTTTGATGTTGCTTTAGCTGCCTCCCTGGTCTGGCCTCCATCTCAGAGATGTGTCACCTATGCCAAGAGGGAATAGGAGAAATCACGGTTTGAATGGTAATGATAACATACTAATCACTTCGTCGCTTTGAAGATGGAAGCGAGAGATCCTGTCAGCATCCCCAGCATCCCCAGCTGCTCCCAGGCTCTGCTCGAGGTGTATTAACTTAAGTGTTGCATGTCAATATAGCTCGCATGCCTGCCATCCGCAGGGGCTCATTAAAGCCGCGGGCTCCCGCTTCGCGAGACATCCACTCACATTAAATACGCGCCACCTCCTTTTTCATCATCATCATTAGGAATATTGTTATTATTTATTGGAAAGCAGTTGCTCGTTCCTTTTCTTTTTCTCCCTGTCCCTGTCTCTCGCGCGCTTACCTCCACGTTTGCATTGAAATAGCATCTGTCATGCTGTGCGGTTTTTATTTTGTAAACCCGAGTTGGGGGCGGAGGGAAGCGAAAAGGGGCTATTAGATGAGGTTCTGTCATTAAAACGTACCGCGTCGTAGATATAATATGCCAGATTTATTAACGAGAGGGAAATTCGGCGAGCCCGGGAAGGCTTTGACGTAGCGCTTACAATCAGGACGGCGGATAATTAGGCTGCCAGGATACACGAGACAATGAGCGTGGCTCGAGACAATGAATCTGTTTTCAGTTCTCCGTGTAGGAGTAACGCCAGCGATGAAAATCCGCTTCATTGCTACATGTGAATATTTATTTTAGAAAAATCTTACAATTACACAATGGATTATATCAGGAAGCTTCGAGTAACATTGATGAAGATATATGAAAAAGTTTTATGAGCTTATTAAAAGTGAAGCTATAGAAATGTAGCTATAGCTATACTGTAGGTATGGTGGACTAAGCTACACTATATTGCCAAAAGTATTGGGACGCCTCTCAAATCATTGGATTCAGGTGTTCCGTGAGTTTTCCTTGCTACTAAATATTCCGCGGTCGCCTGTTACTGGTATTATAACAAAGTGGAAGCAACCGGGAACAACAGCAACTCAGCCAGGAAGCGGTAGGCCACGTAACATGACAGAGCGGGGTCAGCGCATGCTGAAGCACGCAGCGCGCAGAAGTTGCCAACTGTCTGCAGAGTCAATAGCTACAGACCTCCAAACTCCATGCGGCCTTCAGATTGGCACAACAACAGTGCGTAGAGAGCTTCATGGAATGGGTTTCCATGGCCGAGCAGCTGCATCCAAGCCGCACATCACCAAGTGCAATGCAAAGCGTGGAATGCCGTGGTGTAAAGCGCGCCGCCACTGGACTCTAGAGAAGTGGAGACGTGTTCTCTGGAGTGACCAATCACGCTTCTCTGTCTGGCAATCCGATGGACGTGTCTGGGTTTGGCGGTTGCCAGGGGAACGGTACTTGCCTGACTGCATTGTGCCAAGTGTAAAGTTTGGTGGAGGGGGGATTATGGTGTGGGGTTGTTTTTCAGGGGTTGGGCTTGGCCCCTTAGTTCCAGTGAAGGGAACTCTTAAGGCATCAGCACACCAAGACATTTTGGACAATTTCATGCTCCCAACTCTGTGGGAGGAGTTTGGGGACGGCCCCTTTCTGTTGCAACATGACTGTGCACCAGTGCATAAAGCACGGTCCATAAAGACATGGATGGGGGAGTTTGTGGGGGAGGAACTTGACTGGACCCGGGAACTCAGCACAGGAGTGGTGGGGACCCCTCATAATGGGCACAGCGGGTGTACAGACCCGGGAACTCAGCACTGGGATGGTTGGAGCCCCTCATAATGGGCACAGCGGGTGTAGAGACCCGGGAACTCAGCACAGGGATGGTGGGAACCCCTCATAATGGACACCACAAGTGTACAGACTTAGGAACTCAGCACAGGGATGATGGGAGCACGAAAGGTGTGCAAAACTGGGAACAGAGCAGAGCTGGTGGGAACCCTTTCATAGCCAGGAAGTGCAGGGATTGTGGAAAAGCATAACCAATCACTGTGCAGCACTACTAAGAAGGAAGTACCACTATATATATATTGCAAATATAGCTGGGCTCATGCACATGTACAAGTGTCAGTACCCCTTCCTGCTTACTTCCTTCTACCAGTAGAGGGACAACTGCTGGAGACTATGCTGTTCCTTGTGATCTTGTACTGGACAGAAGGTTAAGGGAAGCAGAGTAGAGAGAGTTGGAGCTGTTCGGAACGATGACGACTGTAAATGCTTGGGCAAAAATGTAAAGAAATACTTTGCTAGGCGATGAATATTTCTTCTATCTGGATTCATTATAAAAAAAAAAAGTTTGAGTTAAATACTTTTAATATGCAGATGTGTCAGTGAGATGTAGAAACAATGTTATATATATATGTAATGACAGCGAACTGTAATGATTTCTGTGTACACGAGAGAACTGTAGGAGGTTATGACGGTGGCACAACAGTATGACGGTGAGGTGGCAGTATGTGCAGGATAGTACCGTGGAGGGTGTTATGGTAGAAGGTGTGTGCAGTAGTAAACTACAAAAAGGTATAATGCTGGTCAGTATGTGCCAGAGGGGAAAGGCAAAAAGTACGACGTTGGGTACTATGTGCAGGAGAAGAGGATCAGAGGGTATGACACTGGCCATTATGTGAAGGAGAGAAGTGTCCAGGGTATGACAGCAGATAGTTTGTTCAGGAGGGGAGTATGACAGTGGGCATTGCAAGTGGCAGAGGAGTGCAGAGGGTATGGCAGCGGTCAGTACATGCAGGAGAGGAGTGCAGAGGGTATGGCAGAGGTCAGTACATGTAGGAGAGGAGTGCAGAGGGTATGGCAGAGGTCAGTACATGCAGGAGAGGAGTGCGGAGGGTATGGCAGCGGTCAGTACATGCAGGAGAGGAGTGCAGAGGGTATGACAGAGGTGAGTACATGCAGGAGAGGAGTGCGGAGGGTATGACAGAGGGCAGTACATGCAGGAGAGGAGTGCAGAGGGTATGGCAGAGGTCAGTACATGCAGGAGAGGAGTGCAGAGGGTATTGCAGAGGTCAGTACATGCAGGAGAGGAGTGCTGAGGGTATGGCAGCGGTCAGTGCATGCAGGAGAGGAGTGCTGAGGGTATGGCAGCGGTCAGTCCATGCAGGAGAGGAGTGCAGAGGGTATGGCAGCGGTCAGTACATGCAGGAGAGGAGTGCGGAGGGTATTGCAGAGGTCAGTACATGCAGGAGAGGAGTGCAGAGGGTATGGCAGAGGTCAGTACATGCAGGAGAGGAGTGCAGAGGGTATGGCAGTGGTCAGTACATGCAGGAGAGGAGGGCAGAGTGTATGGCAGAGGTCAGTACATGCAGGAGAGGAGTGCGGAGGGTATGACGGCGGGCAGTGCGTGCCAAGCTGGAGCAAAGGGTGCATGAGAGTGCACATTATGTGTAGAAAAGGAGTGCAGAGGTAAAGTGTGTGTGAGTATTACAGAGAGGCTAAAACATTGTGTGATGGTAATGCGGACACTGATAATAAAAGAATGGCCTGCCCAGGGCGGTCAGCACTGATTAATCAATAAGTGTGTGGGGACCTGTCATCATATCTGGAGGGGCATGGGTTGGAGAGGAGGCACGTTTTCTTTCCTCCTTCTACCTTCACTTCTGGAGTGCGAATCCTGCAGCAGTGCAAAGGAAAGTTAGAATTGTAACAGGCGGTGGGAAGGTTTGAATCTCTCCTGTCCTGTCAGCCGCTGGGTATTGCTGTGATCGAGGGGCTTTAATTAATTTCAAACTGTTTTTTCATTCCCATATAAGTCTGTAGGAATGCAAAACCCACCTGAAAAAGGTCAAATGCAGGTCAGAAGAAGGTACAGTGTAGGTCAGAAGACAGTCAACTGCAGGCCAAAGGGCGGTCAACTGCAGGCCAAAGGGCGGTCAACTGCAGGCCAAAGGGCGGTCAACTGCAGGTCAGAAGAAGGCCAACTGCAGGTTAAATGCATTGCAGAAGGAGGTCTACTGAACCTTATCTGCAGGTCAAAAGGAGGTCAAATGCAGGTTAGAAGGAAGTCAACGGCAGGCCCAATGCACCCTTCAATGATCTCAGAAGCATGTCCGACTGATGCCATTGATACAACCCCAAAGTCCATCACCACAATCCCTTATCCTTCTTTCACTAGAAGGAGAATCATTGAGCTGTAACATGCATGCAGCTAATAAAGTCCCATGCAGCATGCAGCTTATAAAGTCCCTTGCAGCATGCAGCTAATAAAGTCCCATGCAGCATGCAGCTTATAAAGTCCCATGCAGCATGCAGCTTATAAAGTCCCATGCAGCATGCAGCTAATAAAGTCCCATGCAGCATGCAGCTTATAAAGTCCTTTGCAGCATGCAGCTTATAAAGTCCCTTGCAGCATGCAGCTAATAAAGTCCCAGGGCTGGACTTGCACCTTCATAAACAAAACAGCGAGGGCGGTACTTGTATTTCTCTGCTGACGGATTCTCTGTACAACCATTTCCTGCTTTTCGGCTGGACCTGATTTCTCCTTTTAAAGGCTTTTTTCATCTGAAGGGAAAGCCAGAGGATGTAACACCTGTGAAGCCGAGGCCTCCGACCACCTTCCTCATTCATCGCGTGCTCTCTCACCTTCGGCGGCGGGGGGACTTGCTGCTGCTCGGCACTTTCAAAGCCGTCCCCCTCTTCTGTAGCTTTACATGATTATGTTCAAATTGATTAATTAGGAAAGTTGCTTTTTTTTCTGCCGAGCAGCTTCTGACATCTCTTCTGATCCCCGTAACAAGGTTTTATTTCCCATCTTTTTTTTGCAGAGGGCTCATCTTCTGGATAACACAGAGATGTTGGAGAGGTCGTCGCGGAGGCTAGAGGCCGGATACCAGATAGCGGTGGAGACTGGTAAGTGATGTACAAGTGTCTTTTTTAAAATCTTTTTGCTGCTAAAAGTCGAATTCTAGGCAAAAAAAAACAGAAAATAAACTCAAGGAGACCTGTGCTGAGGAGGACCGTGGCTCAGTATAGAGAACAGGGTCAGATAGGTTCTGCTGCTGTGCATAGTGCCAACACCAGGAGCTTGCAGACAGGAGCATCTCTATAGGTTGAACTCGATGGACATGTGTCTTTTTTTCAACCTAACTATGCAACTATGAGATGACAGCATTGTGCTGCTGTTGCTCCGTTTTCCAGTTAGCAGGTTGATGGTGGGTTGGTGACCAGGCATTGTTGCTTAATTGCAGTTAAGAAGAGTGAGGTCAGTGACTCGGCAGTAGCACTCGCTTTACAAGTTTTAGCAAAATTTAACAATCAAAACCCTCTTGGCGTGTTTAGCCTTTTGCCTGGAGTTCAGGTTCACATTTTTATTGCACATGAGTCAAAGAAAAATTCCAATCATGACATAACATATACACGCGATAAAGCAATACGCACTGATGGATAAACATTAGGGATGCACGGATACTAGTATCGGTATTGGTGGCGATACTGAGTATTTGGGCGAGTACTTGTACTCGTCCAAATGCTCCGATACTTACCTCCGATAACGGAACTTCCGGTCCGAGGGTGATGTCCCTCTGACCGGCAGTGCCGAGGGAGCATTCAGCTGGCTTCCTTTCCACTCAGGAAGCAGGGCGGTGGGTTATGACTCGCCTCCAGTCTTCCTGATTGGCTAGGGAGCCGGCTTCACGTGTTGCTAAGCAGCCTTGCTTTCTAACCAATCAGGAAGCCGGGCGGCATGTAATGACCCGCCTCCCGGCCTCCTGATTGGTCAGGAAGCTAGGCAGCCTCTGAAGCCAGTGGTCTTTCGCAAGAACACCGGCTTCACAGGCAATCACGAAGCCAGCCTGATAATCGGGGTACAAGGGCACTGGTACTCGGTATCGGCGAGTATCGAAAAAAAAATATCGGTACTCGATAACAAAAAACTTGTATCGGTGCATCTCTAATAAACCTTATAGATTTATTATAGAAAAAGATGAAATTATGAAGTTTTGTGGTAATAAAAAAAAGTTCTGCTGTTAAAAGATCTACTACTGATTTATCTGGTAATAAAAACCTCTATTTACAATGTCATTGATTTTATATTTTATGGATTTTTGTTGTCCTAGATGTGTAGACTTTGCCTATGACTACCCTGAGGACCCATTTACATTTTTGCAGCGCATTATGTTGCGCCTTAATGTGAGTTGAGTTAATGAAGTCCATTGAAATGAATGGGCTACCAGCAGGGCCGGATTAAGAGTATCATGGGTCTGGTGCTGTCGGTCAGTCGGATAGGAGCAGCAGAGGCGGCTCTCTAATTAGGCGGCCATTAATATGCCTGATTTATAGAGCTGTCGACACCTCTGCCTGATTGTGTTCAGCCCGGCCGGCCCGGATTGCCGTTGGGCATACGGAGGCGATCCAGGCCAGCCAGGCCTATTTTCAATGGTGAGCTAGGAGCTAGTGCTCCAGTATCCCCTGGCCCTGGCTACCAGTGCACCAAAACATTTTGAAAATTGTATGCATCACAAATTTTGTAACACCCCATAGTGCATTGCAGTACTTTGTACATTTGGAGATCAATTTAAAATGAATGGTACAGCAATGCATGCAACGTGCATTGCTGCGTGTTGTGGTAGCGTGCACATTAACACAACGCAATAGGGCAAATGGTCTCATAGGGATCTTTGTTTTTCTGGTTTGTGCAGCAAGATGCCGCGGTTTTTTTCCAATGGAGAAATGTTTTCCGGTTGGCATTTGTTTCCACTGGTACTTTACACTAGAACGGTGACGTGTTTCTGTCTTCGGGCGGGTGCAATCTCCACAGAACCACCTGGTCATGACCCACCCACAGTTTAGGAGTTCACATGCGCATTGGCCTCATTCCCTCTACGTAAGTTAATTCCAATGGTATCATGGGAAATGTAGTTCTCATTTCCCCCTAGCGGTGCATGTCAGATGTCATGAGCTCTGCCTGCCTAGAGCCTCCCTTGGCCACCAGGTGAAGCAAACATGAAAGAAGGAGCTGACGATGTCACCCATATTAAAACGATCAACTACTCAAATAGTGAGGCGTTTTTTAACCAGGTTTAAAAACATTTTTATTGCGGATGGGACGAGGGAGAGGGTGCTAAGGGTAAAAAGTGGCCAGGATCCTGGAGTTGAGCTTTAAAGCAGGACTTATAGACATTCAAATATTTACATATTCTTAACAATAATGATTTTTTTTCCATGTCTCCATCTGCGTTGCATTACTGGAATCTTACCTTACATGAATCAGCTTTGTTTTAAAGTAGCCCTGCGTTCAAATGCTTAGTGAGATAAATCACAGGAAATACTGTTCCTTGTAGAAAATGCTCGAGGCTCCCTCCAGTGCTGCTTACAGAACCAATCCAAGGTCATGTGATCGTGTGCTAAAGAAGAGTGTAAGGGCCATGGACACAGACCTCTGACATTTCCCTTTTGAAATAGAAAAAGAGATTGAGGACACAGAGTCCTCTGCCCATGCAGCGGGGAATGCGAGGAGAAGCTGTGTTGGACGTCTGGCGCCCCTGTTGCCAATGGCGTCCTCTGCTCGCCATGGCAACAGGGGCAAGGGGTGCAGCCAGGCTGGCCCTGGCTACGCCCCCTCTCAGCTGTGCCGGAGGCGCATGCCTCACTCGCCCCATGGTAGCTAGAGCCCTGCATGGACGGATGCTAAAGAAAGGGCACCGAAAGATGAATGGGCGTTAATGGGGCTAGTTCATACCTCTCTGTTCCGTTGAGTTACATTACGTTACGTTGTGCTGAAAAAAAAAAAAAGTAGAACTTGCACTACTATTTTTCAGTGCAACGTAACGCAACAGATCCGGTGTGACCTAGCCCCATTCACACCCATTCATTTTTCGGCACTTTTCGCTAGTATCCGTTGGAAAATGCATTGCAACGCAACAGATCGAAAGGAAATTGGAAGGTACAATAGCAAGATCATCGACTTGTGATTTCCTTCCGATTTTTGTGTGAATGCACCCTTAAAGGAGAACTATGGGGTCAGTGCTTTTCCCCATAGTTCTCCTAAGGGTCACGGGAGAACACAAACTAGCGTCCTCCCGTCACCCTGAGCTCAACATATAAAGAGCTACAGCTCGCGGTATACTGAGATGCCGCAGCCGGAACAGATCCCGACATTGCTGTCGAGATCCACCCAGCTGCGTGATTGACAGCTGGCTCTGCCTATCCCGCCCCCTTCCCCGATTGTTCCACCAGTCAGCGCTGGAGGATCGGACAGGGGAGGGGATCCCTGCAGAGAGCCGTGAGTGACAGTCACTGCTCTCTGCAGGGATAGATCGAGAAGTGAGCGAGCGACGGTATGTGTTCGCTCACTTCCCGATCTACTGAGCCGACCTGTGACCGTTTCATTGTCACAGGTCGGCTCAGATTATGAGGCTGAGTGAAAATCACTCACCTCATAGTTCTCCTTTAAAGATGAAAACAGTTTTCTTCACCGTAAGGGGTCATGTGACCAAATAACCATCACGTACCTGGTGAGAGACCGATAGTTGAGGAGGCTTCTCTTACTTCCCGCGTCCTACACCCCCTGGAGGTGATAACAGGGTATGAAAGGACAGCAAGGCGCACGAGTGATCAGGCACAGGTGCAGGAAAGTCCAGGAGCGGATCAGCCAATTCAGGAACGGAGTTAAGGATAGCCGAGGATCAGAGCCAGCCGGGGAGCGAGGTACAAAATCGTGAGGCAATAAACCGAACACGAAAATTTTAATCAGTAGCAGCCCTACTTTTTTTTTATTTCCTTTGAGAAGCATTCCCTTCACTTCTTGTCCTGGAGCTGCCAAACATTTAAAGTTTTTAATAAAATAAATTGCAAACTTCCCCAAGTTTTTTTGTTTTTGTTTTTAGCCCCATGCACCCACATACAAGCCCATACATATACAGACAGCAAAAAGGGTTCAACAGTCCAAAAGGGAGCAGATAAGAGAAGATCACTGTTCGGGTTTACATAGACTTTTAACAGGATGGGGTTCCAATTTTCAACCACAAAATGAACACTGGGTGACATACCGCTGCTGACAGCAATATCACACTTTCCTGTTTACAAAGAGGAATAGTCTGACATTCCAGAACACTAAAATAAAGGGTTGAACACCAAATAAAAAGTTGATGGGTTCATACGGGTTCTCTTCGAGCGAAGTATCTCTTGCAATGAAAACTTTCTTTCTCCTTATTAACGTCTGTAATGCGTCATCTCAGAGAAAGCATTTAATGAGAGAGTGATGATTTATTGTTTAAAATAGTTTATATGTAGGCAGGAGGTATAGGGGGGAGGAGGGGGGCGTAGGACACATGAAACCGGCTTCCACCGCAGGCGCACAGATGACTGTATGGAGGCTGATGACTGTACACATAACATTATACTCTGTAACTGCTTCAGTATGTGATCTCTGTCTGTAATTACAGAAAAAAAAAAATACGACACAGTGCAAATCCATCTCATTTGTTTCTTTCTGACAATTAGCATGTGGGATGACCCTACTTGACTTAACAAATAGGGTTCTAGTAGAGGCTAATTCGCTGACCTGCCATTTGCCGGTGCCGCCGAGCAGGGAACAGAGATCGACATTTGATGAATGAATTTCATTTTGTTTAGCAGCATTGTACACCTTCTTTTTATGCGTACATCTGTGTTGACCGAAGATTGATGTTCTTGGCCAGAGGTGGTCAGAGCAAATTTCAGCTCGTCTGACCAAGTCGAAGGCTCATTAGGTAGCTTGTTAATTCAAATAACCAAACGGCAAATCAAGTTGCTGCAACTCAATACTCAATACTTAAAATGTGCAGAATGGTCAAGAGGTTCAGATATATACCTCAACCCAACATGACTTTGGTGAAGGTGGAAGATCTAGGAGGTCCTGGTTGGTTGGTGAT